TCAACAACATATAAAAAACTTTGCTGGAAGAGGCTGATGGAAGCAGGTACAGTATAAGAGAAAGTAATAGCAACTTTATGCTAGGAGGAGACTGTACAAGTTAACCAACACCTAATAAATTTAATAGAAAATCCTGTGCAGAAGTAGAATTTATTAAGCAGTAATGGTAGCAAGTACAAACATGTTGCACATAGCATTATAAACAGAATGTGTGGTCACAGCACAGCAAGGCACCTATGACTGAGTTCCATGTATGGGTCACCTCCCTACTATGTATGTTGCCTTCTGATAGTAGTCCTTTATCTACTGGCCATAGCTTTTTCCACAGCTGCAAAATGCTATCTTCTTCTGTTCTTCTGCCACTAGCTCTACTGACAATTTGAACTCCAGTTCAAGTTTGACTCAGTGAGCTTGGTGCCTATAAATGTCAAACTCATGTGCACTGTTTGGATGCACTTCTAGATTACTTTCTGAGCTTGAATGCCCAGAACCCCTCAGTGATCAAAAGTATGTTTGTGCATAAAAACCAGTGGACCAGCTGAACCCATTCTTTGAGAGGCCTGACCTTGTTACAGTGACACATATTGGTTACCTTCCATTCGGATTACTACAATGCACTCTACACAGGCCTGCCTCTGAATATGGTTTACAGAGAATGTTGCAGCCAGACTATTGACTGGAGCTGGTGTGACATCCCTCTCCTGTCATCAAAAGGGTTTCACTGGCTGCTGGTTCATCTCCAGGTCCTATTCAAAGTGCTGGTCAGGATTTTAAAATAACCCTTTACTGGGTGCAAGCTATCTACCATACTTCTCTGTGTGAGTCCCCATATGTATTAATATTCTCAGGGGAGTGACTTTTCTTGGTCCCAGAAATTTAACAGGCACATTTGGTGAGGAACTGAGAGAGGGCTTTTTCTGTGACTGCTCCCAGATTATGAAACTCCCTCAGCCAGGAGGCTTGGCTAGCTCCCTCCCCCCATTCCTTCTGCCAGTACTGTAATTAAAAACCTACCTCCTTAGTCAGCAGCTGATTTAGGGATAAAACCTGGTTTACATTTTTAAAATATTTGTATACTATCATTTTTAAATTATGTACTGTATAGTTATCCCAAATTGACTGATACAAGATGTGGTTTTACATAGCAGCACAGTACAGAGTAAAGATGTGAGCACACGTGTGGTTTTGTTAGATATCTTTTGTACAGTATCTTTGATTTCTGACTGCTGGCAATGTTACACTTGCACTAGGTTGCTAGCAAAATTGCATCACAGCACTAACCTATACATTTATTAGTGGTGTCTCATCCAGGGAAAACTATTTAGATTTTAGTTTCAAATCACAGTAATTCAGGCAGGGTTTAGGGACATTTATTCCCTACTGAGATTAATACAGTCCTTCGCACAAAAGGCCACAATCTCAAAGGACACTCTTAATTAAAACAATGAGCATGGAAACATACCTAGGAACTTTCAAAGGCATTCAACCAGTGAGTGTTTCTTAAAATGCTGACACTATTGTAGAGAAAGAGCATAATGTGATAATTCAAATACAGTACAATATCTGAAGAAAATAGAGAGTCTTGTGTAAAAATTCACACATCTCTGAAAATTCACACTCAATAAAATAACTGGGATAAAATGGGAGAGCAAGATGTGAGCATCAGCTGAGCTTTCCAAAAAAGAACTGGCCTAAAAACATTATTAATCATTCCTCCATTACAAGACGCAGGACACACATTCAGATATCTATTAGAGGAAGAGGTACCATGTTGCCTCCAATTTTTGGTGATCCTATAAATAAGTGATCTCCAAAATGTCCTGTCCTCAACTGCTCAGCTTATAAACTCAACCCTGTGTTTTCTTTAGAAAGTTAGTCCATCTCGTATTTGGTTTTTCTCTTTTCTTGCTTCCTTCAAACTTTTCCAGCATTTTCCCCCAGAGAATCATGATATGCACACGGTAAAACAGCTTCAGTTTCAACATTTTTGCCTCCAGGCCTGATCTGATCTGCAGTCCAGAGTATCTGCAAAGTTGTCCTCCCGTACCATATTTCAAACAAATTATGTTTTCCTTGCTTTCTTAACTGTACAGCTTTCACACCCTAACCTATGTAGAATCAGAACTTAGAGATGGGCCTAAAAGCAAACCAACAGCTGAACTCAGTCTGGGCAATCAAGGTTGTATGGTGTCAGCAGTCAGTATTGGATAAAATTCTAGCTGCTGAGTTTGGAACCAATTTTCAAATAATTTTTAAAGGCACATAAGAACACTCACTTCTACTAAGATACCTTTAGGGATGCCTGAAGAAAGACAGCTGAATTACATGTACCAGATCCCAGCACTAAAATAGTTCTACTCATCGAATACACTTACTCTCTGAAAGAAGTAAAATACTAACTTTAAACAAAACCAAAAGCTCTACTCATAGTAACTCCTTGAATAAGAGGGATGCCATGATCTACCATTACTAGACAAAGAGACATTTTAACAATCTATTTCATAAACCCTGTTTCCTTCGCAGTGTGTCCCTGAATTGTGCAGCAGGTGAATGCAGTTTTGATTGCAAAGACGAACAGCCATTAACATTACTGCATCTTGTCTATCTTTTTAATGAAAAATAAAAACATGACATGCTATCGGGAGAGAGAACTTTAATGCAGAAAACATCATACTTTTAAGCTTTTATGAGGAGGAAGAGAACATGTGAATTCTATTTTTCGTCAAAACAAGGGCTTATAGTTTGAAACTCAAGCCATGTGGCTGAACTTGCTAAGCAAATTGAAAAATCTGCTGGGACAGTACTCTCAACTTCCCAGCCACATTAACACCACAAACCTACATTAACAGATTTAAATGTAATAAAAGGATTAAAGAAAGGTAGCCTACCTATTCTGAAAACACTGACATCAGTTAAGACCTTCAAGTAAACATGTAAAAGTAACAAGTACTTAAATGAAAGACAAATAGTACTTGAGAGCAAATGGTACTTTCAAAGTTACATGAGTTTTCATAGCAAATACTTCCCCTCTTGATATCTAATTTTTAAATTCACCATAATGACCCATGTAAGGAAAAAAAAGACTAAAAGCAATATCCTGCATGAAGAAAATGGAAACAGTGGGAACAGCCAAAACCAGTAGTTTTTTATAATAATGAAAAAAACTGGTATGGCTACAATGGTTAACAAGTATCAACAACAATACTGTAGTATTATAAGATAGACAGCATTTTCATACTTATCCCATTTGTTAATAACAAAGAATCCCAAGAGATAACCCAATCTAGGCATCTTCACAGTCTTTTCTACTTCTGCTTGGCAAAAGACCAAATTTCATATAATATAATATAATAAATGAATGAAGATTCACTTCCAAGTCAATTAACTTTCATTGCCAGCCAAAACTCTTTCTAGGAAACTAACACCACAACATAGCAAACAAGTCAGTTGAAGGAGAAATGTTTCAACATAATAGATACTATCAAAGGTGTTGTCAAACAAGATTAGTTCATAGAAATGTAGACCCCTTTACTGAATTTACCTTGTGAATAAAAAGGATGATACTTTTAGACCACCAGTCCATCATCAACAGCTTTGAAGAGATGTCATACTTTGAAAAACTGCTGTTTAAAATGAACAAGCCTTTCGGCAAGCCAATCATAACAATGTATTTGAGTACTGAAGAAATAGTTTGTTTTTTTAAAAACCCTATGATTCTGCTTTTGTTTTACTTTTTTATTATAACCAAATATACTTTCAAAAAATTGTTTAGAAACAAAGGTAGTATTCACCACATTTACACCCAAAGTCTTGGGGACTGCATGGATTTTGAAAAAGGCACAACACTGTAAAATAAAATAGATGCTAATAAAATGCATACATTTTGCAGCACCCCAGTACAGTATATGTCAGCTGATCAAGATAATTCTTCATGCATCTGATGTTGAGAATTCCTGCCCACAAAAGCTTGTATTACAATAAATCAGCCTTCAAGGCGCTGCAAAACAGTTTTACCGCAACAGACTAACTCTGCTATCCCTTCGGTCAATTCTTAGCTCTTTAACTGTTTTCCTACTTTTCTCTCCCTGTCAAGGGGATGGACAAGAACAACATCAATAGGAACACAAAACAAATCGTCCTTTGCTTAAAAGCTTAGCAGATCGGTGGTGGTAAAAGCTTCCGTGGACTGAAAAGCCTATTTCATCCGGTAGCCTCTGAAGGCGACACGAGACTGCCCGGCTGCCACTCTTTCTCGGGAGCAAGGTGACGGCCGGTGATCTAAGCCGGCTCGGATCGCACGTTGACCTTATGCTGCCCCTGATCCTATTGGGAGTTTTATTGGCAAGTCAACCCCGCTGACTTCAATGGAAATTGCTCGCTCGCTCTCGAGTTATCAAAGCCAGAGACAACAACGTAAGGCGCTGTACTCCACTGTACTATGGAGATCTATCCCGGGTCGATCTCCTGACCGGTGCGAGCCGAAATCGAGAGAGAGGCGCCTGAAAAAGAGATCCACTCGCACCTCCACCCCAGAAACCCAAAGACCCATAAAGGGCTCCAGCGAACATGCCGCCGCCTCTGCCCCGCCCTTTCGCCCTCAGTTCCCAACGTCTCCCCCGTTGTCTCCTCAGATCTGGACCGGAGGGCGGCGGCGGCGGCGGCGGCAAGAGACGCCCCTGTGAACCCTGTTTCGCGGCGGCCTCAATCACTTCTTAAAGAAAAAGGTGGTTGGAAGAAAAGGGGGAGGTCGCGAGGACAAACATTTTTTTTTGAGGCGAAGCTCGAACCTGCGACAGCGTGAGGAGAAAAGAAACCCGCTAGCCTCCCCACAGGCAGCCGTTATTTAACCGCCTGCTGTCTTTTCCAACCGTCCGAACCGAAAAACAGCCAGCCAATATTTTTTTCTAAATCCTCTTTTTTTTAAAAAAAAATTATTTCCTCAGCGGGGGGGAGGGGGAAGAAAGTTCTCTCAGCGCGAACGGCCACTGCTCGAGGCTCACCTCACTCCTTTATCGAGCTACCGCCTCCTCTGGGCTCATTCCCTCAGGTTATCACTCCTTCCCTTCGCGCACCCGGGCGCAACTCGCTCGGATTGGGAGGGCCAGCAAAAGTGCAGGAGAAAGAAAGAAAGAAAGAAAGAGCTACGGGCTGACAAGGGCGGTGTGAGGCAGCTCCGCGTACGGCAGATGCCTGCACCGCCCAGCAGCGCCGCCGTCTGAGTGGCTGAAAAGAGCAACCAATCGTGGAGCCACAACTGCCCAAGAGACCAATAGCAACTCCCCAAGTGGGCGGAAACTTTAACGGACCCACCTTCTCTTTTTTCATTTTTTCCAGAAGGGGGTGGGGCTGCGTCGCTTGAGGGAGGGGAAGGAGGTGTGAGTTAACGGGAACGAACCCGCAGATTTTGCTGGAGGGGGGTGGGATTTCGCAAGAGCCGTCGTAATTTGAGTGACAACGTCGAATACAATCGGGTGTAATGGGGGTCAGAGGAGGTGAAGGTCTACGTTTTTTAGGCTGGATTGTCCCCATTGGGCCGCGGCGTCCAGTCAATGTCCCCAAGTTTCACGAAAATCCGTAGTCTGGCTCCGTTTTACTAAAAATACTTTGGTCATACAACGATTCCGGGCAGACAAGGTCTCCTCAGACAAGGACAAGGAGCGGGGTGGTGTGTGTGTGTGTGTGTAATAAAGACTGGCAGTGCACTCCGAAGTATGTCTACAGAAAAGTAAATTCCATCTGTATAATTAGAATTACTCGTTTGTCATAAAGGTATCTTGCAGCTTTTACTAATGCTTGATCCCAACTAGAGTAGACCCACTAAAGAATACAGTAGTGCCTCGGTTTACAAAATTAATGCGTTCTGCGGGGACATTATGTAAAGTGGAGAAAAAACAAAAATTATGTTAACCGAAGCGCCTCGGTTTACGAAATTAATGCATTCTACGCGGACATTATGTAAAGTCGGAAAAAAACAAATTATGTTAACCAAGGCTTTTGTAAACCGAGGTACAGTATGTACTGCTGTCGTTGCAAAGCGGATTTTGCTTATTAAAACATTGTTTTATCATTGCAAAAGTGATCGCAAAACAGTCATCGTATAGCGGTTTAGTCGTTTAACAAGGCAATCGTTAAGCGAGTCACCACTGTATATTGAAGTCAACCCTTATGTAATTCCCATTGATTCAATGGGCCTATTCCAGCTGTGACTGTATTAACTGTATTAAGTCCTTAATTTATGACTTAATATTTATAGCATCCTTCATTGTACAAAGAGCTTCATATTTTTTTATTTAACTTTCCAGCAACACCATCCCTGAGGCAAGTTAGGGTAGCAGGACAGGGCACAAACAAGCGTTTCTAAGGCTGACCTATGAAGTGGAGAAACAGGCAAGGCTGGCCTTACCATTTGACAGAATGAAGCAACCTCTTCAGGCAGCTTATTTTGGATAAAAAAGGGCATCAAAAAGTTAATTTTTTAATGTATTGTTATGTAAGCAATGTGTCATTCCATTTTGACTCTTGGGCACTTGTAGAATTATCTGCTTCAGATATCAAAGTAACTTAGCTGATCTTGAGTACTGCTCATTTTGAGGTGGAGAAACAGGAAGGTGCCAGTGGGGCAGGAAATTAGCTTTAGCCAATGTGTGAGCATCAGGGTATATCATGGTGGGAAACACATCGCCCACTCATGGTTTGCTGCTCCTCATCTTGCACTTGTTTTTCTTCTAGAGAATTTTAAAAGATTGAACTCAAAAGGGCTGATTAAGAAAAGTAACTGGGTAGAGGTAGGGGTTTTTTGGGGGGGGGATCATGGAGAAAGGGGTTGGTATCTCTGTTATGCATGCTGAGATTTAAAGGGCTCCCTCATTAAAGGACTCCTCACCTGATTTGTGTCCCTGTAACATTTCTTATGTTCTCCAGAGAGACCAACTTCCCAATCAGTGCTTACTGTGTTCAATTGAACCCAACTGAGCACACCAACCTGTGCCATATAGTACAGCAGAACTTATACATTTTGTTGTCTGAGGTAAAGTGACAAATAATGGCCCTCCTAACCTGAGGTAGGTATGACTTACCTTGTCCTTTTTCAATTGAGGATGTCAGGGGCTGAACTCATAACCGTCTGTGTATAGTAAAACGTACATTCTGCTATTGAACTCAAAGACATAGCTTACAAATTATGTCTGTTGGTTTCCTTGGGTTGGTGAAAGGAGCCAGACATTTCCCTAGGTTTTAATGAATGTATGTAAGGTGCTCATGTAAGAATGACATTTAGCGGGGGAAACTACTCCGAGACTCAATGTCACATAGCAGAGGGTAGAACAAGCACTGTACTATGGAGATCTGTATTTAAATCACCATTCAGCTATAAACTAAAAAATAAGTGGCTTTGGACCATATTTCTGTAGGATCACCCTATTTAACAGGTTTAGAAAGATGAGGCTTCTTGTCCCATTACAGATCTATAAGCAACGACAAGGACTTTTCATTTACAGTTCATGCAAGTTTGACTAGATTACTACTCTAGTGTGTATAGCTTAAAAGTTTTTTTTCAACAGGACTTTGAGTCAAAACAGGACACTTCTGGCTTCAGCTAAACCAGACATTTTCTTTGTAGTAGAAAACGTTACTTTAACACCTCAGAGGTCAACTGACTAATGCATCCAACCACACTGTTGCCAGAATATTTTTGTTAACCAGCCCTTTGAAAGTTTATGACCCATATTAATAACACAATTGCCATTTTCTGTATCTTGTTTAATCTGTCCTAGTTCTACAACCAGAAGCAGAGTGCATATAAACCTATGATTTGAATATTGTACTGCATGCATATGGAGTGGGCTCTGACTACAAAAGCCTGTGCTAAATTAAACATTTCAATCTGAAAATGCCACAATATTTTTAGTCATTTTTCTTATTTCATTATGTTATTGTAGGATAGATGTAATTGTGATTGTGTCACCAAGTGCCTTGAGATTTTTAGAAGAAAGACAGGATGTAAATGTAATTAAATTAAATACATATCCCTCCAGGGAGCCAGCAATTAAATTGGCATTTGGATCTTCTATCTTAAGCCAATTCAGGAAAATCAGGAGGAAGTTTCCGTTTCTGCCACTAATTCTCATTCCAAGTTTTGGATTAGAAAAACTGGAAATAAGAAGAGAAGGAGCAACTGGTCACGCATTAAGATGGTAAAAGAGCAGGGAATACTAGGATTCCATTGTGTCCCACCATTAGTCAAACTAAGGTCCAGCCTGCACTATTTTCCTTTAACACAGATAACCATAAACCTAGAGGAGAGAGGCCAGGGAGATATTAATTACCAATTACAAAGACATCTTATAGAGGCCATCCTTATACTTTGAAAAGATTGGCTGTAAAATTTCTTACAGGTTGAATGTACATTTACAGTAAAATAGTTTATAACTATTCAGAAGCTATTATTGTACAAAGTGAAGAGTTTCATAGTAGGCATCTTCATTGTTAACCGTGGAAATTATTGTTAACCACATTGTTACATTGCCAACTGTGGAAAATATACCAAATCTTTAAAAGTTGCCTTTAGAAACTTTTTGTAGGAGAGCCATGTGATTAATTATCCTTTCTTTAATCTTTTTGGGTACTTAGTGAGTAATGAGGAATTCCAATCCAACCCCTAATGCTGACAACTCTATGTATGAAATCTCTCAGGAATCTTTAGAATAGAAAAAAAAATGCTGTAGATGATTATAGGCTTACTGAATCAATCATCAAGAAATACCATCTGGCATCTCCCACCAGAGAGTTCATGGATTTCTTTAAGAGATGATGGCAATTATTTTGCATTTCTCTGTGCTACTCCCCAAAAAGGAATGAAAAGTAGCCTATCTGTTGTTGTTTTTGCTGGGGCAAAAGATATTTCTCTTTTCATTCTTGCTGTTTTATAAAGTGTAATGTATTGTGATTGGACAGAAGCAAGCATGTGAAAATGCCATGAAGCTTTAAAAGATTATGCACTAATCTTCAGCATACACCTATGCTGCATTTTAGAGGATTACTACAGATTGAATGATTCAGTATTCGTCCAATTTAATATATGACATAGAAGCAGAATCTTGCAGCATGCATATAATTCTCATCCTGACCTGGCTGTGTTTTCATTAAGATTAATGTTCAGATTAGAGCTCATTCTTCTTCCTCTTCTCGGATTCGCGCTCACACAGAGAAACAAAGTGGGATAAATCTGTAACGTGGTTTCCAAAGAGTACATGAAATGTGCATTGTTGCAAGAATTTACACAAAGTAATGTTTCTTGTATTAGTTTGCTGGATGATCTGTTTGCAAGTTAAATGTGTAATTTGCTCTTCAAAGCTTATGTCCATCATTATTTTTATGATTGTGTTACACTTCTGTGGAGTTTTAATATCTAGAAACATATGTGGGCATTTTAACAAACCTGAAAAACTGCACAACATTTTACAATATTTTGGTGGTTCTAATAAAAGAATTGTGCAGGTTTGCATTATAAATTTCTGAGTAACTGATGCCTGAATGTGACAAAAAGTTTTAATTCAATAGGTCAGTCTGTTTTGTGTCTAGATTACTGGATACATATGCACTTAATCTACCAGCTCAACAGATGGGGCCTTTTAACCCAGAATACAGAAAACTATAATGTGGCTATATCAGGGGAAAGATACTAAGACTTCTCCAGACAGTTTTAGAAAATGATGGCCATGAACTGCAGAATAATATTTAATTAAATTGAACTTAGAAAAATTATTTTGGCAGACATTTAGTCGGTTTATTTTTCCACATCTTTTTTAATTACATAAATAAAGAGCCACACATTTTCAAATACTAATTATGACTTTATTTCTAAGTGATAGAAAAATCAGGCTTGGAATTCACTGCTACAGCCAGAATAGACAAGATATGGAAAATCTAAAATTCATCCTGTTACTTACATGTGGGTGGGTGGAGTGTTTCTTCTGAGCAGTCACAGGTTTTTTAATATTTCCTCTTCCACCATTTGTCCACTATAAATTGTGCCTCACTAATTTCCATGAGATGTAGATCAAGTATCAGTCATCCACTATCCTCAGGCATCCACAAAAATCTCAGCAGGACCCACTGCTGGTATAAGGTAACTGTTTAATTTCCCACAATGTCTCCTGACTTTTTCAGGAAGGGAGTCTGAAGAACTGAGGCAAATAGTCATCACG